TAATATATTTTCCCCCAGAGAAAAACTGGCGACTTGGTACAACGATTTAAATAGGTATCGAACATTAAATCATAAACATTAGACGGTGTATGATAACAAAACAATGGTCCAACGGCTGACGACGTTTAATTGACGAATATTGTCATCGAATGTCGCGTAGTCGTATACAGTGTGTTGCACTCGCATTGCACTACTGCGGTGTGCGGAAACAATTTACTTTTTAGTACGACGTTCTGTGCAGCGGTGTCACTGTGTCAGTACTCAGCGGGCGCCGGGCACGGTCTCAAAACGGGAAGGGGTAAGGGAATTAGAATAAAAAACTTCTCTCGGACATCGAAAACAACACGGGTGACGGCCGAGGGTACCGTCGTCCGTCCATATTATTTTCGCCAAAAACATTATTAAAATAATGACGATGCTAGTCAGCGGCTGCCGGCTAGTCGCTATTAATTACTGGGCGCGATTACTTGTTATTAAAACGGTAAAAACTATGTGTTTACATCATTGGATTGCCGACCTTCCCTCAACGCAGCCTACTATTATTAATACAACGCTACAACTAAATAATAATAACAAATAATAATTGAATATTAAGTAATAAGTATTATCTATTATTTTTACCAATTATTATTATTATTATGTTAGTTTATTATTACTATGTTAATTTTCGAACGACGACACGCGACAGCGCACGACGAGCTTTCTGAGACACAGCCAACGCGATATTAAAAATTAAAACTGGGACGTGAATACGATACTACGGAACAAGCGAGCGCCGAGCAATGGCAACAACGGACAACGGAGGCAGCACCGCAAATTCGAATCGGCGGCCGAGGTCTCAAGAGTTCAGACGTCCAGTGTGAGCAACACTATACTATAGTACACTATTTGATAGTAGATACCGAGTTTGACAGAGGACAGACACAATTGCATTAACACCAGTATGGCAGCACCACCAGCCACCACTCAGTACCCAATGTACTGTAAAATAATCACTACTCACCACCTATTACCTAACCATCGTCCATCACCATCCACCATAACATAGCGATGGCGGTGGCCGGTGCCCGGTGGTGTCCCTCGCTTGGACAAACGACGCTAGCGCGCGGTTGGTCGATTGCCAAAATGAAAAAAAAAAACTAAAATTACCACAGTGGCACAATCCAAGGCACAGACGCGGGTTCACAAGTGCTGCCAACGTAAACACATCGACGATAATATCACAGGCCAGTCGTTTCGAAAAACGATATGGAGCCAATAACCCTCCCCTCAAAACCTACAACTCACACCTAGTGTGGACGATTCAACCATCACCAGAATTGCAGAATAGTAGGAATACCATATCGGCATTCGACAAATCCTGATTCCTGATCACCAGCTATTGGCTACTGAGGTGCCCAAAGTACCGACTAAACGGTCAAATTAAATTAACGGTCGCAGACCGCAGTGTCGCACTGTCGCAATTGCACGACTGGACCACTGTAAACTGTTCAATTGTTCGTTGCGTCGAGCCGTCGACCGTCGTAGTTAAATGTTAATCATCCGATTATTAGCATTCATTTTTTATTAGTCAAGCACTCAAGCGTCAAAACTCGCCGTTAATTAGTAATTACGCTGTCCACTCAATTGCCTACTGATCAGTAATCAGTAACACTAAGACGTTCCACAACAGTCGAGCGTATATAACGTTTGTAAAATAAATAAATGCAAATCCCCAACTTTGAAAAATGCTATTCTGAGTTTCTTACCAAATTAAGTTCATTTAAATCAACTCTAACTCGTGGAAATTCAAAAAATTATTGTTAATGAATTGTATTACCTACTATAACAATAGCATAAACAGTTCGGAATAAACTCACAACAAATACATATATTCAGTGTCGGCCTGGGATCTAAAGGGCCCATGAGGCAATCTTTTCAAAGGGCCTCTCATAAATACCCCTTTAACTTTTTTGTTAACAGCTTTCACTGTAGTAAAAAATGTTCAAAATGTTAACAATATCTATAGGTATGTAAACAATATGTAACCGCAAAATGTGATATGCATTAAAATTAATTAAATACCTAGAACTAGATTGTTTGTTTTGTTCAATTTATATTAGTAGTCCTATTAATACACTTGATCAGTTAGCCACATTGTCGAATGATCAATTTTTCTCAATATTTCTAAAAATAAATTATCAGTACTGACGTAATGTTTATAATATGTTTGGGTGACGCGGCTGTAATCAATGGCTTGGGTATCAGCACGCAGTACGCACACGATCGGTAAATGTACGTTTGACTATAYACTTGTTTAAACATTTTCAACAAATGAAATAAGGCCTCATCTTGAAAAATACAGGCCGGGCCTCGGAGGCGATCGCTTCCTAGCCGYCAGGGCCAGGCCGACATTGCATATTATATTACATTTTAATATTTATTAGAACAAAACGATTTATTTTAGTAAAAAAATCTAATAATTTAATATACGTACTTTAATTTCTAATTAACTATTACAATTTATAACATAAGCTTCAAGTTAATCTTAGTCGGCAACAACGGCAACGATCTGTTATTTACTGAAATCAATCATCAAAAGTGAATGGACAAATAATGATTAGATATTGTTTATGGTAAAGAAACTTTAATAATAAAAAGTCCATTAACACATAAATAGACAGGCAATGATAGTTGTTTGTACCACTGGAACACTAGAATACATTTAAATATTTAATTAAAATAGTATACGGTGACTATCCTTACCTAGTACCTAGTTCATCAGTTCATGTGTTACTTCAACTGACAGGAACGTATATACAATTTGGTGGAYGGTTGAATGTTGAATGTTGAGTAATTATTTATTAATTATTATAATATGTCTATTAGTTTAACATAATTAAATACAAAACAGTATAAGTACAAGTTCTAGGATAAATTATTTTCAGAAGATAATACTGYATTATTTTATAACGATATTTAAATATATTCAATTTATAAATAATTATAATAAAAATATTACCTTCAACATGTGCCATCTGCGGATTCAATTCTTGTTATTTTAATATTTATATTTACTTGGTTTATTTATAAATAACATATTGGTAAGTGGGTACCAATTTGCTGTAGCTGTACATTAGAATTAAATGTTGTGTGGGCCACTGTTATAGTTGTATTAAATTTTAAAACGATTTTCTTATATTTTATGATATTGCTATAAAGTACCTAATTTATTTTACAATCTATTAATAAATTATGATACAGTAGATTTAATTAATTTTTAAAATGTCATTGTATGTATAAAATATAATAATTTAGGTACATTTAAGGTTTCTAGAACTCCGAATAATATTTTTATACTATAACAACCATTCCTGGTAACCCTCCTCGTCGCCTTAAGCGTAAATGGTGCAGAGACCTACTTAATCCCTAACATAAAAAAATAATAATAATAATAATAATATTAAAATTAAAACAAAATAATTAAAGACGTAGGTTTCATCGGTGGGTGCCTTCTTCATTCAAAATTTCATTATATTGTCATTGTCATTAGCTCATACTCTTATTGTGCCGATTGCGTATAGATAAAAAAAAAAAATATAACAAAATAACTAAAATTCATATTATTCGTTTAAATAGGTAATAGGCTAATATTATCCAAATTGTCTAATTGTCATAGGTATCTATAAAAAAAACTGTGTTCGTATATTATTTAAATTGTTTGATTACTTTGTTTGATACCTACCTACTTATGAAAAGTCTTATTTGAAATTTTCATATAGTTGATATAATACGGTTGAATTAGAAAACCTTAACTAGATAACTAATGGCGTTTATAAAAAATTAATTTGATTTTCYGACAAACTTATTCTTAATGTTTGAAGAACAAAAACTAACGAGGAATCGTTTATTRAATTGAAAATTGAAAATGTCTATAAATAGCACAAAATAAAGAATCGATTTAATATATTATTTCGTATGATACATATTATGTATTATTTATAGAAAAACCTAATATAAATATTTTCTTTCATTTAAACTAAAAATATAATGTCAATCTTATCAAATACTAATTAAAGGTACGTAAAAAATAACGTTTTATCTAAATTGTTATCTAAGCAATTTTTTCCTAAAAGTTCCTGCTATATAGCRGTATAATAGCACTGCTATTTTTTTTTTATAGTATTCCAATAAAACAGCGTTTCTTAACCAGGGGATCGCGTAGGTCAAAAATAATAAAACGACGATTTCAAATTGATATTGATAATGATAGGATATTTTTACCGTTCAAATTTTTACCTAATATAGACGGAGTGGGGGTCGCRACATTAAAAAGGTTGAGTAACGATGCTTTAAAACAAAAAACTTGATAGACAGAGGTATTTTACTTTTGACCTTTTCAAAGTACCAACCTTTAGAAAATGGCTATTCTAATTAAAGATTATTATTTGTTTTTTAGCTAATTTATAAAAATWAATATGTTTTWAAAAAAAATTATATTTTGATGACACCCAAAAATTAACAAGAATATATGRCTATTGGTAATTTGTAATATTTCCTAATAATTGTTTTTTGGTACGGGACCTCATAGTGATTATCCTTATAGCAGCCAGAAACACAGATTTATTTGAAAATAGCCGTTGCTGTTTATATTAATAAGATGACCTWATAAGTTGTACTATTTRCTTAATACTTTGTTATAAGTTACAACTTATAAGCAGCATTTAGAAAAAAWTTGATAATAATACTTGAACGTGGCTGATTTACCTACATCAAATAGTCGATAGAAATGAAGAAATTTGTAGTTTCAACTGTTTTAAGAATCATTAGGTAACAATTTTTAGTTGAAAAGCAATTTTTTAAATTGTGTAATTGTATATTTGCAGTAGCGTACCTACGCAGGATTTTAGTTCGGTTAGGGTTTTATACATGAGTAGATAATTTTAATAATAATAAACAATTCAAATAATTTTCTTAACAGTTATTTTATATGATAAAATTAGTTAGGTACCATTAAGTTATAACAAATTATAATTAATAATAAATTAACAGTTTAGTTTATATTAAAAATTACTAACAATTGATCGACTAGCTGTGTATTCAAATGGTGGTAAATAGGATATTTTTTGTAAAATGAAAAAATTTTGGTGGGGGGTCAGAACCCTAGAACCCTACCCCTGCGCACGCCACTGTATATTTGTATACACTTGGACTTGTTGAAATTGAAATATTTATATTACTTATTATAGTATGATACAATATTTAAGATATGTATTTTCAAGCCTGGGCATAAACGAGTTAAGAAATTAAAGTTAAAATATTTTTAATTTTTATTACTGTAGTTTTCATTAACTTTTATTAACTTTTATTGATATAAACTTAATAAATAAAGTTAGTAATTTTTTTATAAGCGTTTATAGTTCAAATTTTTACGAAATCTGCAAAAACGCGAAAATTTGCAAGTAATTTTGAAGTTGAAAAATCATAAAATTTTTTGTGTTTATAACTAAGGATTAGAAATACAAAACTAATTTTTCCATAAAGTAGCTATAATGAAAACTCGAAGCATCATTATAGGAATATAATACTTTAAATACGTTTGAATTTTAAATTTTTACGAAAATAGCGTGACGATAACGATTTATCCTGAAACAATTTTAAATATTTGTTATTATTCAAAAAGTATAAGTCGTAGATACTTGAATTTTACCGGTTATTTTAATTGGCATTTTCTTTACATGATATAATTTTCAAAATATTTTGATTTTTTTTGAGATATTTTTAGACAACTGAAATTTTCAATTTTTCTGAAAAAAAATTTTTGGTCCAATCAAAATACTTCAAAATTTAATACAAAGTTTCTCATAAGTTATTCTTATAGTGATTAAAAAAATTATAAGAATACATCGGCACAATTTTTTTTTATCAGCATTTGAAGTTCAAATATTGACAAAAATTCGTCAAAACCATGAATATTTGCAAATTATTTTGAAGTTGAAAAATCATAAAATTTTTGTTGTTTATAACTATGGATTAAAAATACATCACTAATTTTTCCATAAGTTTTCCTTTAAGCAGCTATAGAAAAAACTCGAATCATTATTATAGGAAAAATTTTAAGTGCGTTTGAATTTTAAATTTTTACGAAATAGCGTAACGATAACGATTTATCCTCAAACCAGGTATATGTATATCTATGATAATATAAGGTATTTATAATCAATGGTATTATGAATTACGATAAATACATGCAATGTTTTTGGAAAAATCGATTAACCATGCCTTATGCAAAATGCGTCTTAATTGAAAAATAAAATATTTGTTTAAAAATAGAATATATGACAATATTTAAATATAATATATCCAAGACTGACAAATCATCTCCGTTCAGAATCATTTTTCGTATACAATGATAAATGATACCTATCATTGCAWTCAAATCTAACCTACTCAGTCAGAGGTCCACACTACCACCTAATGTACAGCAGAGCGATACCCACTTTCCCGCATTTTTTTTATTAAATAGTTACAAGATTTAATTATCACATGCATAAAAATAAACAATGTTTTAAAATGATACCTTACTCAACATTTGATTTTAAGATTTATAAAATAATTATTTAAATGAATTACAAATTTAATTTTTTTAAGAACATTAATAAAATAAAATATTCTTTGATTAAAAAAATTTAACATGAATGTTGAAAAAATTCAAGTTTAAATTCAATTTTCTGAATACTGCTTATTATAAGTAAATAACTTTAAAAAATATTGAGTAACAAGAGAAACACCTCAAACAAACTTTGGTAAAAACTAAAAATATAAAACTTGCTTAGCAATTTTGAGACCTTAAATATACATTTATATTATAAAATGCACTTCAAACATCTATACTTATAATAAGTATATACATCTCCATTTAATTTTAATTAAAATTCATAAACATCATTTAACTTTGATAGTATAAAGTATTTTTCTAAAAAAAAAAAAGAATGTTTATTTTATTTGCAATATATTCTTCTTTTATACAATTGATGTTTGAAGAAAACAGTAATGCAAAATGATTTCTTCATAATAGAATTCTAAGCTGTTCGTCTTTTGGTACTTTATTAAGCAATAATCGACCATCATAACTTAAAGAAGCTAATAGCCATGAATCTGCAGAGGACCATTCAACACAATACACAGAATCTTCATGTTGATCACACGTGGCAACTATTTTATCTTCAATGAAAGTTTTGGTTTTCATGTCTTCGTTTTCAATAGCTGATGACGAAATTCCTGCTAAACATGTGATAAGAACTTGACCATCACTTGAAGCTGTTCCAATTAATTCATCATGTACTGGGTTGTATCTGTAGAAATTAATAACAAAACAATATATTTGGTGGTTTTTAAGTAAATAACAAAAATAAAGTGTTAATTTAATTTGGTGACAATAATTCTAGATCAAAAATCTAAAAACATGCATTTAGGTTTTCAAATTTAAGTTAAACTTGAAATATTATATTTATTTCAGTTCCACTAATTGATCAATATTCTCAAAATTCTGTGAAATATGAAAAACAATAATAATTTTTTGTAAAAATATTTTACATGAAATTGTTTAATTTAAGTTGTGAAAACCTAAAATAATATTATGTAGGTTAATATGTATCATGAATAAATTATTGTTATAAATTAATTTCAGAAAATTTAAATATTCTGACACAGAAAGAAGTTACTTCTTAATGGCCCTTTTATGATAAAATATGAAATAGAAAATAATATCTTATTACAAAGCAATGTAAAAAATAGTATTCATTTCAAAGAAAATATATTTTTACTAAATAGTAATTAATGTAGTATATTTCATTATAATATGATGTTTTATTACCTAATAGACCAAATCCAATGGGAATGATCAGCACGGGATATTAGAGGTTGTTTAGGATTACGTATATCCCAGAACTTAGAATATCCATCATCACCGCATGTTGCCATATAGTATTGACGATTAGGATTAAAATCAAAATCTCTGGAATTATTTTAAACTTAT